TCTTGTTCCTACTTAACGAATGCAGCTCAAACTAGGTCAAAACTAACGTATTGCTCAACCCATAGTCAGATGACCAGCAGATCCTACGCCGCCCAATCCAGTCATCGAATTTGCCAGCGAATTCGTTTGAAGACCATCATATTATTAAATATCGGTGGTCTTCAAACGAAATCCCTTACCAGTTTGATGACGAATTCATCCGGCCCATTCCAAAAACGCTCAAGATAAAATGAAAGTGTATTTCTGAAATAATGTGCTTTCTTGCAATGCACCTTTCGTATATCAAGCGAACCTTTCACTTCCAGCGCCCGTTTACAGTTATCAATCGAATCAGAAGCATGCACATACCTATCGATACATCTGAACCTAAGAACACAGAAGACATTTTGTAGAGTACCTGTCTGAGCCTATGCAGTGGAGCCCGTGAGCCGCCCAACCGCAGCTGCCTCATGAACTTGATGATAGGTCTGAACCTCAGATTGGCCAGAGCTTGGCCGTCAATAACCAGCTTATTTATATCCACAGTTGTAGTGACTTAGGGTTTGGAATTTGCCAAACCTAAGTTTTGATTACCAAGAGAAGTTTTGCTTCTTGCACTTGCCTTTTCTTCATAACTTTGGCGGAAATCGTCGTAGTGAAACTTCAGTGTTCCGTTAGCTGTCGGTTCTTGAGAGAGTTGGCCAGGCCGGACACCGCGGGGGCGGCTCCACAACTTTCGAAAAATTAAACCTAAGTCCTATTGCACTGCATGGAGAGCAATTCATTTAAAATCGCTCTTGTTCCCCCCCCCCCTCGACAACTTTGCAAACGTCTCTGCGCAATTTGGTTGAGAATAATGGCTTATGGCAAGTTATTGAACCAGAACGTCGATCACTGCAGGTCATATATCGGCAAGCAATTCTTCATAACTAGACACTGCTCAAATGGAAACGATACAGGTTTGCCCAGTGATAAACACTCGCACTGCACAGACGCGCACACCCCCGACCGAACGCGGCACGGCACAGCGCAACTGGCGCCGGGAAGCCGGGAACGCATTAAGTGAAGGATTCACAGGTGCGCAACTTTATTGCGAACAATAAAAAACCTACCGCAAACGATTAAAAAAAAGCTTTAGGGCAATCGGAAATACAAATGTATTGACTTATAGAAATAAAATTGTCATTCACCTTCCAAATAGCCTAACAATTTATTTGCCGTAAAAAGTGTCTGGAAATGGAAAGGTGCAAACATGATTCAGCAAGTAGGGAAACGCAGCAGCTACCTGGCGAATAATCTCAGGCTGGTTTAGTGACGAGTGCATTGCTACGGCTTGTTCCTCACCCTTCACAGATTACTATGACAAAACTACCCCTAGTATTTTGATCATCCTGAGCCTGGCTTTCACCTAATAATTTGATGAGGGTCTTCCTCGTTTCGGATTGAGGCGAAAACAAACGTCAGACAACCTTGATAGTTAATTCAGCACTTCAAAACAAAGGTACACCTAGGGTATCATTACAATACCGGATCATAACGATCTGGATAGTTCTCAGCCTGTAAGCTAACTAAGCGGTAACTAGTCAAGTGGTAGGTACCGGAAGCATTGACAACCTGGTGACTGTTTCGAGACCCTTGTTTTGACACATAGCTCGTCAATATTTTTTACAGTGTATCAATCACCATAATGAGACGGTGAACGCCTCCACACCTTAATGAAGTGTGTTCGCTTTATGAAAGATCCATCGAACATCTCAAAACCCATGTCACGACCAAATAAGAGTCTGCCTCACCCATGAATAACAAGTTCACATTTGTTTGTGAACTTATGTGTACCAATGGCTCACGACACAGCATGTTTAGCTGCGATTGAGGATGCCTGGTCAGCATCTCAAACTGGAGAGCGCCTCGTCAGGCCCCGTGTCCGTGACGGCGCATACCAACAGAGACACTCCCAGACGTGTTGGTCCCCTCCCTCTCCCCCAGCGACCTCGAGCCGACGGCACGGAGCGGCGGCACACCTCTGGGCTGGCCAGGATGCAGCTGGGCAGAGACCGTGACCTCAGCTGACCTGAGTGACGAGAGAAACAGGTGTGTGGCGCTGAGCTGAATACCAAAGCGGAACCGATCACCAGCAAAGTGATAAGTACCGACCAATACCTAGACGGTACCGATTAATTCCAGGACGGTCCCCAACGATATCGAGGTGACATGAACACCGGACTGACTGATAGGTATACCCTGACGTTTTGCTAGTTGGGCTGGTAAACAGTATCTACTGACGTCTGGCATCACTCAAAATCCAGAAAACAGGATCCCACTGCAGAAGTGGATTACCTAGGTGTAAACACAAGTACGATCACACAAATACTGTAAAAGGTTAGCCCCATATTCAAAAGGGTGGAGAGGGCTAGTAAAATTGAGGGGTAGGGCTAGTAAAATTGAGTTTATATGACTCGACTAGTCTGACGTCGACTTGCCGACAACCGATGCCTGCAGGTACCGGTCGTCGGCAAGTCGACCAGTAGCGACAGCCAGTACCTACAGACTGAGCCTTTCTACAGAAAGGCTGACTTCATCTAGATCTCGTTCAATTACTCATGCCCATAAAATTACGTCAGCTTTCTGAGCCTTCATTTGACCTCATGACTGCGTCAAAAGTAATGCGACTTTCACCATCCTTCGCGCTGTGATTCCGTGTAAGTCAAATTGAATGGCGCTGTGTGGGAAGGGAAGCCCGACCAGCGTCGCCCGGCTGCACCCGTTGAGGCCCCTCAGCGTGTCGGAACTGTGACTCACCGGCCGCACTACCCAACCAGGTGAGATTCTTACGTGAGGTGAAGTGAGATCCGTCTGCGACATCGTCTGAGCGCTATGGTCGGCCAGGAGTATAAAAGGTGGAACGGCTTATCACGGCTCGGCCGGGCTGCCGTGAAGTGGCGGTGCAGTGGCACTCGGACGGGTCAACAAAGGTCGCAGGGAGGTCACAGGCTGGCCTATCTGGCCGAGGAAATGGAAGTGCTACGGCCCGCCCAGCGTGTGGTGCCACAGAAGCCTGTAGGCTACCAAAGTTCTCCGTCTATAGGCACAGCTGTCCATAGTCGCGTCGCCTATCCGTCCCGACGAAACCGTCCCTGTTCATCCGTCCGCCTCGCCTCCGTGCGGACAGTTCGGGCCGTCCAGTGTCCGCCGTCTCCAGCCGGGACAGTCTCCGTCCCGGTGCGCCGCTGTCTGACCTTGACTGCGCGGCGTGAGGTGCGGCACCTCCCGGCTCAGGCTCCGTCGGCGCCGGTACAGGACACGCGCGACGACTGAGGTGCGGCCGATAGCACATCGCGGCGGAAACCAGCGACAGAGTTCGGACTTCGGAGTGAGATGGGCGGCTCCAGCATCACTGCCGGTGCAAGCTACCAGGTAAGATAGAGGTTGATCGTTAATCATTCACGGCAATGTGAAGTCGTGAGCTGCCCTGCAGAGTGCAGTGTCATCAATTTTCTTCTTATCTTCATCCATATGCATCAGCATAGCTGTCTTATGCATAGAGACCGACGGACGAAGACCTTGAACGACGTCTCTCGAACACGCAGCCTTGACCGGTACAGCTTTGAGCTTTGCCGCTGTAGTTTTAGGGCCTTGGGTGCAGCAAACATCGCACTTCAAGCGCTGCGCAGCTGGTTCGGCCGTCTGTCCGACATCCGGCCCTTTACATGGACGTGCAAGTCGTACTGTCGGGGCACGGCCCGGTCCGGCGGACGTGCATATCTGAGGACGTAAGTTCAAATACCGAGTTATGTTTGGCGTTATAGCTCAGAAAGGGTAGCTCGCCACCGCCGAGAGACTGTGTGTATACTTATCGAATCACCACTGGTGGTGCCAAGGGTCGGAGCCGTCCGCCCGTCCGCACCCTCTTCACCAGAAGCAAGACCCTATATACCAGAAGGGAAGGTGTTTGCCTGTCGACAGCGACACAGTCAACGCACGTGGTCGAGGATCGATATGCACCTGTGGTGGCGTGCGGGGAGGGTGGCACGTGCCCTTACAGCTCGGCGCTACTCATCCAGTATCGAGCGGGCCGTTAAAAATTCACCTGTCGTAAAGGTCTAAGCCGTTCGATGGAGGTGGGAGGGAGGGGGAGGCATATTGAGGACAGGTCGGGGCGGAAGCACCGAGCAGAGCTCGGGCGTATCAAGAGTTAGCCAGGAGACAGGAGAGTATGAGAAACTGTAAACAGGCCAGCACACCGTTTGTGGACGTATCAGGCGCCCAGACTCGATAATCGTCCCTCGGTAAAGCATTTCAATGGCCTCGCTGCAGTGAGTAGTCCCGTCACGAAATCACGGTCGAAAGGGGTCAGTGACCCAGCCAGTAGTTCAGCAACTCATGTCAGAGGCCGCCCCCGGTCCATTCGACGTTATGACACCGACGGAGCGAACCGCCATCACACTCCCGCGGCAGTGAATCATACATGGGACGGTTACACGAAATGCCGCCGTAACACATACTAACAGTTCTCCCTGTCATCACACTGCGGGGTCTTTGTGCGCTAGATTGTATGTGTGTATGTTCGCTTCGCTTGCAGCACCGGCAACCCATTAGCGGATTTCTAGAATGGAAGGGACAACAGACATCGGTGACTTGGCATGCGTCGATAACTCGGTGACCCCAAACCTGAAAGTGCGCGTCCAATGGATACATCTGGCCTCTGGGTCACACTCACACTAACACTACGACAGTGCATACATCGAAACACGTGACAGCACCAAATCGAGTGCCAGGTGACACAAAAAGGCAAAGGAAGTAGCAAACAGGTGCGGGGGGACAGCCATGGGGCAGGAGTGGGCGCGAGTCGTGCAAGTAGACGGTGGCAGGTGATTCAACGGACAAGTGAGAGGACAGTAATGCATAAGAATGAAGACATGGAATAACAGCAGGAAGGGCTAAGACACAGGGTAGCAGAGGCACGAGCATTGAAAGATAATGGACAGCCAGGCTGCAGGATATCACAGTCGTCAGAAGCCTACCTTGGCAGCTGGTCTCACACCGGTCCCGGCCGTAGTTTTTCGTGCCCGGGTGGCAGATATCGTAGCACGCCTCGCACGTGCCCGTGGCGGGCGAACAGTACTGGTGCAGGCTGCACGTGTGGTCGGTGCCACAGCGCAGCGGCTCGGCCCGCAGACCGGCCAGCGCCGGCGCGGCCGCCGTCGCCGCCGCCACCACCGCACGCACAGGCCGGCCCATAGGCATCACGGGGCACTCACAGCTTCACGGACACAGGTCAGGTCACTGGCGCCGACCTCGGCACCACAGCGTCAGGTCAGGTCACAGGCGCCGACCTCCGCGTCAGGTCAGGTCACAGGCGCCGACCTCGGCGTCCGGTCAGGACAATGACGATCCCAGGTCACCGGTCAGGTCACTGGCGGTACCAGGTCGGCCGTTCGGGTCGCTGGCGGTACCAGGTCACCGTTCAGCTCAGTGACGATGCAAGGTCGGCCGTTCGGGTCGCTGGCGCCTGGAGGTACCAGGTCACCGTTCAGCTCAGTGACGATCCCAGGTCACCACTCGCCACTCGCCGTTCCGACTCGCCGGCGCTCCCCCGTCCACCCACTACCTCGCTCTGTCTCAGTCTGCGCCGCCACCGCCGCTTTCCCATACCGGAATGTGCGGCCGCCGACGGCAATTCCCGGAACCGGCGTGACGTAGCGGCCCGGCCAGGTAGCTCCGCCCACCAGGTGAGCCGCGTGCAACAAGGACACCTGGGTGGTGACCCACGCCGCGGCGCAGGCCCTTCTGACCGCCGACCGGCTGCTCTACCTGAATGGCGTACCTGCGTGAAGGTACTGAGATTCGAGGAAGCTCACCCGCTGAGGGAACGAGAAGAGAGGAAGCAGACTGAATGGGCAAGTTCCAGTCCAGTCTGGTCTTGGAAAGTCGATGACGCCAGTGTAATATGTAAGGGGGAGAGGGTAAAACAGCGTCCGCGTCATCGACTCGCAGGGGGCGAGTAATCTTGCGTGCCATCAGTGGAGAAGAGATCCACGCATAATGCTCGTTCAAGGGCAGCGAGGGCGTTTGAACTACACCAGTTTACATACCAGGGTCGTTTGGTGACAAGGACGGCGCGGGCGGACCAACTAAACATCCAGATAACGGTGTCTCGTTGAGCGGTGCCACGCTACCGCTCAGTTACCAGCATAAACACAGAAGAGCCGAAATACTACGTCGTCACAACGCCTGCAGAGTGCCGAGAGCCGCAATTCGGGACGGACTCATACGACCGTGGAATAGTTCTTTTCGCGAGTGTTGACCACCATTGAGCAGTGTCACTGCCAGTGAGCACGATTTGTTGAATTTCTGCTCAGGTAGTTTAGTGACATCAGTGTCAATTACGGTGTGATATCGAATGCCACGACCGCCAACTCGCTCTTTCACGGCACACAGCGAACAACACGGCGCATTATATTTACCCGTGAACATCCCAAGTTCAGCCCGGCGAGACGCTAGTAAGACTTCTAAAAAGGAAACTCGGTTCCGCACGGCGCGGCGCGTGTCAGTTCGTTAGTGCAATCACCGCAGTCCAGAGCCACCTATGAGCGGGGTGCCACACCACAGAGCACAGACACCTGGCGGCCAGCGCCGCACCTGTCGGTGGTAGCGGTACCACTCCCATCCACCCTCTGCACAGCGTCACCAGACACCCAGCGCCCTCCGACAGACCCCATCCCACCGCCCACACGCCCGTCACCCACTCAGACCGACACACGCACACACAGACACGTCCCTCGTTCACGCGCCGGCTCAGCCCGGTCAGCGTCACTCGCGTCCGTCTCACTGGCCCGCCGCGGCCGGCGCCGTCCGTCACTCGCAGCCGTGGCCACACACGCAGTCGGAATCAGTCGTGTATTCGCCGTCCAGTCACAGTGTGTCGAGTTGCACCGGGGACGCCGGTCCGGCCGCCCAGGGAATGTCACTGCACGCACGGCCCACTGTCCGTCCGCCCGCTCCGCTCCTCCGCCGCTCTGCCTCCTGCCGCAGTCCTCTGCTGGTCTTCAGCTCAGCTGCGAACGCATGGCCCCCTGGTTAGCTGGCGAAGGGTGGGATACTGCTAGCAGGGCCGATTTTGGGTAGGGTTCACACCAAATGCAGACTTAACAAGGTCAGGAATCAGGCCGAGTTCACAACTAGCTGCAGTAGAAGGGACACACAGGTTTTACTATAATGCAGCTCACAACCGAGACAAAACGTTGAAACAGTTTCATGCCCGTTGTAAACTAGGGGGTACCACAGTCCTTCATTAATCTAAGCACAGGACAGCACGTGTCTATGTATGTCCAATCGAGACTTCTGCAAGTGTTGGCAGGACGGGTAGCCACCCGTTGAGAAATAAGCATTATGTGTCCTTGTAAAAGTTTCCACATAGAAACGCCGCCCAACATAGACAAATGACAATTACCTTTTTTATAGACTGGTAGAAACATAGTCCGAGCCTATCTACAATGGTGTCTCGCTTCTGAAAGTTGAAAGTTATTGTACGCCAAAAAATAAAACTGGACATTTCTAAGTTCTAGAAGCAGCATCGTACTATCTCAGCAGTATGAAGTACAGTCCAGTGCTGCACCCCTCGCCGCTGCAAGAGGAGTGTGGATCGCAGTCTGTGTGGTGGCGTCACCACCAACACCCCGACACCTGAGCCCCAACAGCAACAACAACCGGCATCAAAATGGAATCCTGTATTAACTGCCAACTGCACAAAGCAAAACATGATTTCAGAATTTCAGCCACCACGTCATAATCGCGTGTTGGGGTCGAACTTGTGTCAGGTTTGAATCAGATCCATGAGCGCGCGGGCGCGACGCCGGACCCGGGACCGTGGCAAACTCAGTCAGACCAGGCGGCGCCAATAACCCTATAAAAATCACACGCCAATAAAACTACAATGGAACGACCCAACTGTACACAGGGCGTAAAAAATAATTTTTTCAGGGAGCTGGGTCCTGGGCCGTCTGCGCGCGGGCCGGAGCCGGCCGGCCCCTACTGGAGGGGCGCACAGGACGTGTCGCCTAGGTCGGAATCGTCGGTCGGCGGTGGCCAGCGCGCTGCTCTAACCGGCTGGAGCCGCGCCGTCCCACACAACAACTAACAGGCCGGCCGCGGGCCAGGAATGAGAGAGAGAGAGAGAGAGAGAGGAGAGAGAAGCGCTGTCCACGGCGCCGCGCGCGCGGGCGGCCGCGCGGCAGCTCCCGACCGCCGGCAAGGCACATGGACCGCCGCACCCGCATAGGCTCGCCACCGGTCATCACAGCGTCCCTGGCCGGCCGGCCGTCTGCCCGTCTGTGGCTGTGACTCGCTCCCCGGGTGTCAGTCTGTGTCTGTGTCTGTGAGTCGATGTCAGAGCGACCAGAGCCCCGCTCCGCTGGCACCACCCAGCCGCGCACACCTTAAGCGTTGGTGTTGACTTTGCTGGCGATAATAACCTCTTCGGAGCAGGCCTTCAATACGGTACACTGTGAACAGACAAAAGGCGGGCTGTCAGTCATCAGCGAAACTCCACAGGCCGACACGCTCAGTACGCTCACCAGAAAACTTAACTAAAAAATGTCCGATTAATGAGCCACAATGAATTTAGATACGGTTAATCATCATGGACCATAACGTTGCAAAACTACACAAAGCTCACATACTAGTACATATTCTGCACATATCAGTGTTTGCGAAAATACACTTTAGGTGGAGACTTCCACTGGCGTCCAACTGGCGTCCAACTGAGCAGACGTCCAAGTTGGCGTCTAACTTGGCGCCTAGCTTGGAAGTTTCCGTCCAACGGTTATACGCCAAGCTAGACGCCAACTTGGACGTCCGCTCAGTCAGACGCCAGCTGGACGCCAGTGGAAGTCTCCACCCAATGGGTTGATGATAATTGTCAATGCAGTGCAGTCTCTAAGCACTGAGACATTGCCACGTGAACTGGTCTTTACGCCACCGGCAGCATACTGACCAGCATCTCTTTGCCGTCGTCGAAGTCCTTCTGGATCTGCTGTCCGAGGGTGCCCTCGGGCAGGCGCAGGTCACCGCGTGTCTCACCCTTGTCGTCCATCAGAGTGCAGAAGCCGTCATCGATATCGATCAGCTGTGGAGAAGGGGGACACGGTCAGACGGCTCGGGGCGGCAGAGCTGGTCATGGAGCGAGGGTGCAGCGGAGCACTCCATCAAGTGTCACTCTAAAACGCAGTGATCATTCTAGGAAGTAAACAATGCCGATTTTAAGGTTAAACAAGCCACCTGACTATCCAGAAGAGCGGCACTTCCTAAAATCTTCATGACAACTTCATGACAATGGCCGATATTTGCAAGACATGCTAGCAAAATGTTTCAAACTATTTCGTTCATTCATTGCGGCTGGAAGTGCAATCAATATAGGTAAAATCAATATAGGATGATCACTGACCACTTATGACAAGGTCATGACCGTCAACTAAACATGAGCAGTTTGTATTTCGTTTTTCTAAACATCCCTTTCTGCAGGATTTCGGAGTCGTAGCAACGAGCCAGGAGTCGACCGTCCAAGCTGCCTGGACTCCGACTCCGGGAATGTGTATTAGAATAGTGTGGCTTGCCCATGAGACTGGTTGGTACAAACTTAAACAAATAGCATAGCTAGAGTTAATCAATTTCAAGTATATTTTGCACCAGATTGGTGTGGTAGGTCGAAGATAGACTTCGACCTTATGTCATAATTTGGTCCCCGTCCTAGGGGACTGAGCACAATTTGGACCCCTCGAACCGATCCACTGAGAAAGTATTGCATGGCTTCCTCCTCCACACCGGCGTAGGTTAGGATCACGTCCAATAGGTCATGACAGTGCATTGACCCGGAGTGGAGTCGGAGTCTGAGCCGGTCAAAAGCCCGGAATCGGAGTCGCAACAGGAATCTTACCACGCGACAGGAGCCTAAACACTGCCTTTCCGTCCCATTTCGCATGGCTAGAACCAAAGACCGAAAATGGGGAACAAAGACACGGCGTTAAGGCACCGACCTAAGTCTTGAGAGCACGATTTGACCTCTAACAATTTTTACAGCTGAACAAGGCAGCAACCAACCGGCACAGCCTTCTCCGCTCAGATGGATTTGCTCCCGGCTACATCTATCGCCGGCAACTTAGGACACGTCCATGCTGTCCACATGTATAGCACCAGGTATTTCAGGCCGTACCTGCTACCACAATCTATCACCAATGCAGCCAATCCGTTCCTGGACCACCCCCGGATGTGCGCGAGGAGCAGTACGGCTACCTCGACCAGTCCGCAAGCCTCCCACCACTGAATCCAGTCTACATTCACATTATCGGCGGCCGGCGCATACAGAATGCAAATCGGCTCAGCACGGACACTGACAGCAAGCCGTCCACCCGGGTACCGCTACGGGGCACGTGACGAAGAACCTGCGGCACCGCTCTGGCTGCGATCAGAGATGCACTTTGTCCCAGTACCTAGCTAGTGAAGACTCGTGTCTTTTGTTAAACCACCGCGACACAGTTATCGATTGATTACAAAGATGGCCAGAGTCAATGTGGTGACCAGCCATCAGCACCAACCACCCACTCGTGCCTGAGTATCGTATGCACGGCAATATAATGCTGTCCTTTTAGGAATTGCTGTAGGGCGCCCTTGAAATCTATCCCATTACTTGGTCTATGGGTCAAGCCACATGCTGAAACTATAGGTATTTACCAGCTAACTGACGAAAAATGTCTTAAAAATAGCACCTCTCAGTTCACACTTAAAAATTTAAGCATTCCATATTACATTAGGCAGAGCCTTTCACTGGGCCACCCAAAACTAAAATCTGCAATTTCAGATAGGTGAGCTTATCAGCAGCCAGTCACTTGCCTGCAGGTCAGTACGCTTGACGACCGGCACGTCCATGTTGTGGGTGGAAGGACAGATATCCTCGTTCTTCTTGCCGGTGAAGATGTCCAGTCCGACCATGTGGACCTTGGCGTGGCCGTGCTTGCCCGTCTTGGAGGTGGACATCTCGACGATCTTGCACGGGCGGCCCTTCAGCATGACGAAGCCGTTCTTGCGCAGCGCAGAGCACTGCATGGGGTACGTCGTGGACGCACCCGAGTCTCCCTGGCCCTCAAACTCATTATCAAGCTCAATTTCGGCCATTTTGGCGGGAGATTCTGAAAAGAAAATATCGTTCATGTCACAAACAACGATACACGCTAATAAAAGGAGGACAATTACTTTGTCGGTTGCAAGTGAGCACTAAGCATCTTTTCGACACAACAGAAACATCTTCGTAAGAG